GGGCGGTCCAACTGAGCGGGCGTTAGAACTAGAACTTTCAGCGGCTGTAGCTCGCTCCTCGCTCGCTGTGGAGTCGCGAGAGTGGGACAGTCTCTAGCTTGGGGGCTGTACTACTTGCACAAGGAAGGACGACCATGTACTACTCGAGCGCGGGGGCTGTCTTTAAGGGACAGCGGTTGCCATTGGGAGGTGCGAAAAACTTGTGGCGAGCGTGTGAGAGGGCTTTTTTGATAGGGAGGGGGCTTTGAGGTGGGCGAGCCACTTAACATTTCTAGAGAGCTGAAATGTGTGAGGCCATAATGGCCTTAATGACCTTGGGATGTCATACGGACGAGAGAGTACAGAGAAAAACAGAAACTTGGCGCTAATAAAGGGATTAAGTTCAGGTTGTCGGCCCTAAAAGGCCATCTTCGTCCAGTACATCATTGGTGGGGATTCTGGTCTAGTCCGCACGACTCCCCCTCCTCCTTTTTTGGGAGGTTGGTACGCCCCCTGGTTCCCTCCTCATTCTCATCGAGCCGTCGGGCGGGGGAGGTTGGGTATGTAGCACACATGACAGGAGAAATCACGAAAAGTCAAGCGACCTACTTCAGAAGCTCGGAAGGGAAATACTGCCCTCTCCCTACGACGAACAAATACGACCCCCCCCTTGTTGAGAATCCCCAACGACGATGTGCCGCGCCTTCGCCTCGAACATCTCAAATGTTTTTTGTGACTTTCGTTTTTTCGAATGGGTTTCTTCAGTGATTAGCGAGAAAGCGCGGTCGGTCGTAGTTGCGCAATTCGAAAACTGCGCAACTGGAGAATTGCATAACATCGGAATGGGGCATTTCAATAAAAGTGTGTTTGCATTGCTCAGGTCGCGAAGTATGGACGCCAGAACTTCGGGTAAAACGGTCCGAAAACTATAACCGTAAATGTCCATGTTTATTGGTGACTTTCTGCCACAAATCTACCTGCGATAATGTTTAGCAGCCGGTCTAAGTTTCTACAAAGTAAAAAACAGCCCCAGAACAACTGCTGAACATTATCCCAGGTAGATCTGTTGTAGGTAGGACCTCGCCTTTGAATAGGGACATATACGGTTAGCGCTCACGGCACATCTTTGTTGGGGAATCCCCAACAGGGGGGTCGTATTTGGCCGCCAGGAGAGGGGGGTATTTGGGCTGGGAAAAATTTATTTTGATAGTTGATTTTTCTCGCTTCACGGACGTTGTAAAAGGGGGGGGGGGTCGTACTTGGTCATTGTTGGGAGGGGGTCGTATTTACGTTTTGGCGTTGTAGGAGCGGTGGTTGACTTTTTGTGATTTTCCTGTTTCATGCGTACTATATGCCCCCCCCCGCTCGACAGCAAAATTTTTGGGGAAAAGTAGGGAACTTTTCGGGAAATTTTGGAAAAAGTGGCAGGAAGTTGGGGAAAATCTGAAAATTGGTAGAAGGGGGGGGGGGGAGGGTCGTATTGTCTCACGGCTTTTCTGTCTCACATGTGCTATTTACCCACACCCCCTCCTCGCTCGGTGGCTCGATTCGATGGGAGGGACAGAGGGCCAGAGGGGGAGGGGTCGTACCAACCCCGAAAAAAAAGGGGGGGGTGTCGTACAACTCGAAATAAATGCCCAACCAATGGATGTGCCCTGTTAAGCGTTTATGAGCCACAAGTAGCTTGAAGTCCTTGGGGTTCTAGATTCGTCAGAGTATCCCGTGCGACGATCATCGAGCTGCATCTACAGTTGCGCCTAAAGTCAATGTGACCTCACATATTGCAGCTTTTCATACATAATAGATGATCAGTTACCTCCACCGAGAACAATTATTTAATTGGTAACTCTCGATGAGAGTGCAAATCATCCAGCTTGGCTCTTCAAGTAACAAAAATTGGCCCAGTCAATGGAAGCATCAGATTGGATAGTAATGTTATATATTTTAGAATGAGCGAATCACTAATTCTGGCTGAAACTGAACAAGAAAGCTTCTGCGATGCCTTTCTGCCAAGCGCTGCCCTAAGCACGTGGGGTGTTTGGACTGAAGAAGAACCTTCTCTCGCCAGCCACACTGTGAGTTCTTATATTTTGAGTAGGGTTTTTTCCTTTGACTTATCTGTTGCAATCTCCACGATATTCTAGTTTACCAGCTTGGGTACAGAGGTGTGCGGCGACGACGACGGGTGGGCCGCCTCGCCATTTGGGGAACATTTTTGAAAAAATGCGAACACACCCTCCTCAAAGTTTCTTCCTCTCAAACGACACCTCTCTTCTCCATCCGCCATCCTACCCACCTTTTTCCTGTATTTTCGCAACTTCCTCCTACCGAGAAAAGTCATAACCAACCAAGAATTATCTCACGAGGAAAAACCGAACCCTCCGCACTTGCTTTCGCACCAAACCAGATTCCCCCCTCCCTTCGAACTGGGATCCCAACGTTCGTGACTTCACTGGGGAGCAGTATTGTCTAGGAATCCCTGATAACTTTGGCAGTAGCTCTGCCTCTCACGGCTCAATATTTTGAGCACACTTTTTTCTCGAGCTAACCTCATCTCGGAACTTTTAGCTGTGTGAAGGGCATTGTAGATCCACAGGATGGTACGGTTGGATAGCCATGGCACGATAGTTCGTTGAAAAGTTGCCATTACTCCTTTTATGCTGCATTGTTTAGAAATCGCATGTACTCTGCTGTTGCCTGCTTGATTGCGATGAGAGAAACCAGTGTATTCAGAATCTATTTTATCCATTTGTAGGACTGCACTTTGCGGGATCGTTGCGGAAGATCACCCGTTAATCGACGGTTTACCACGTCGGATAAAGAAGGAAGGCGTGTTTTTAAGTGGGCCGAAGCCACCACCGCCACCACTGCTGTCGTCCCAACTGCCTTTGTCATCCCCACGCCATGTGAGACCTCGGTATGTGAAGTTTTCCGTTCGTAGTTTATGACCTTGTTTGACCTCTTGGTAACTGTGGATGTTCCAGCCTAGCCCATCCCCGTCATGTTTTGGTTGTGGACAAGGAGGGTGTTGTTCCCCAGGACACTACTCCGCGTACCATCTCTCCGGTATCGGTTCTCTCCAGCAGGTAAGTAAATACAGAGGGATGCCTGAAGCTATATCATGCCAATTTAGGACTCCGAAATAGGTTTTTCGAAGTTTGGCAAGGGGGGGGGGGATTTAGCGCCTGCTTCCCATGTCGTGTTCTTTGCTTCACAAGAGTTAAGAGGCTTTCTTTACAAGAGTTGACATGAGTTCCCTCAAATTTTGAGTGGTATTACTTGATAACTTCACAAAATTGTACAGACCTCTACTTTGTGGCTCGTCGATGAAAAGCAGCAAAAGTCCAAAATGACCCCCCCCTAGCCGAACTTCGCCGTGAAATAACAAAACCTCGTTATGTTCTTTCTCTTCTAAAGGACTCATATATGGTTGTAAACCTCTTGTTATTCATGATTTAGTCAATTTTGTCATCGTTTTTCCAGCTCATTATCACCATTTGCTAAAAATGTGGCAGAAGATCATCAACTCAGCAGCCCCTATATGTATGACATCCATGAATATGCACCTATGTATGAATCACCGTACAATCTATCTCAATCCAACGCCAAATCTTTATCATCATCTGAACATTCCGCCAACTACGCAACCAGCATCGCCGACAGGTAAACCGTAGTAGTCTATTTCATTTTGTAATTCTGCAAAGTTCAAAGGAAAATTACAGCACTGACCTCGACTTCGATTATTCTCATCTTATTTGTTCACATAATATTCGACGATTTTGGAGATGACATCGCTTACGGCCAGCCAGGTTAGTGTTCACATGCTCAGTTAAAGTCTGATTTGTTGCGTGTGAATAGGCGTGTCCGGCGGGATGCGTTTGTCACTGTGCCAAACCCGTCCACTGCTAGTTGCTGAAGCGAGTAAGGGACGCCAATTGATGGAAAACGACCGATATGGCCCAGTCTTGTCGCTTGCTCGCTTCACAACTGGTGGAGAACGGATTTGGCACCGCGCCACTCACTCCGCCTGACACGCCCATACGTTCGGAGCAAATTAGACTATATTTGTAACTTCAACTTTGACCCTTAATATGTTTATATTGGTACAAACACTGTCATGCTAGGGCATTAGGGCTGAGTTGCAGTCGTTTTAGAAACCAGTCCATCCGCCTCTGTTCAAGAAGTTCCTTCTCAGTCGCCAGCAGAACCTGATTTTTCATTCATCGATAATATTTACGAAAGCGTGAGGGCAGAGATCGAGGCAGAAAAGGTCAGTGTTATTTTATAGCATCACAATTTCAGGCCCACCCCTCTCAGAATGTTTGCTGAATTTTTTATCAAAAAATATTTCTGTGTGCAGATTCAGCTGGGAGTTCCTGGCTGGTATTTGTCCTTGTACACAAGTCTCAGATCCCCTTAGCTCAGAAGCGCCTGGCTCATGCTCGGCGTGCGCTGGCGCCAAAATAGGCTTTTCGTTCCAGTGCCTGCGTAGGCGTCTTTCCTCCCTAAGCCAGTGAGGGGCTCTTGTTCATGCGACCAAACACTAAAG